CCCCAAAACCCCAAAACCCCAAAACCCCAAAACCCCAAAACCCCTCTTACTCTTAATATCATTGAACATTTCCGATCCCTTGCTAAAAGATAACTTATTATAAAATATTTGTGAAAGATTTTAGTAAAAAGAATAAGCTTCCTAATCTGTAAGCCTGCTTCTGATCCATCTAAGGATGCTAGGGCCTAAGCCTTGCAAATAAGGGCCCTCTCAAGGATGAACTTGCCTTCCTTGTACTTCTGGTCCTCATTATAAGCTTTGAGCTATTATTTAGATGCCTAAACTTACATATCTCCAGCCTACATAATTGCAGCAATTCACGCAAAAGATGTCACAAACAACATGGAGGCCGGACATTAGCTCCCTCTCCTCTGTGCTTCCATCAAATGTATTTATCCTAAAATTTTAAGTGTGGGAGCTTACACGTCTTCAATAAGATAAGCTGTCCCTGTGCTTCCTTTGAACTCCTAAAAATGATAACAATCGCTTCGATCAGGCGAAAATTGAGTGAATTCTGGAACCTGAAGAGTCCCCATGCTCTGAATTAAATAGGAGCATATTCCGATCACCAAATTCGTCCGGTCATCGTTTAATAGCCTTATCAGAATCATCTGCCATTAATGGGTTCTAATTTAACCAAGCCTTGGACCTTGCTGGTCAAAAGTTTAAATTGCATGTTTCGAGTACGACTAGCAAGGCAAGAGGACCTCATCAGGCACAGGAGATGCTTGGGAAGGAATTAAGCTGGCTAAACTACTTCATGAATGTTGCCAGACCAATTACTTCTTCATTTTGGCTCATATCACCAAATTTTATGCATATTTTCATCAGAAAATATACGTGTATGATACAGTTATGGTGGCCCTTACGGGGGAATTATAAATAACTTGTAAAGATACCAGCCAGGCTAATGGCAGCAATTTGCCTCTAATTTGCATCTTCTCAAACTAAGAAAGCAACAATGTTTCAAATACAAAGCTCATCTTTGGGAACAAATTGCAAATTTGAATTAGTTTTTATCGTAATCTAGTGGAGAAGGAATTGTGGAATATTCGCTGTGAATCGCAGAAATTCAAAACTGTTTCAAACTCTAAAACCGCTAAAAATGCTCACAAAAATTTCAGTCTCTGCTCATCAGAATTTTTGCAGAACTCATTTTTTTCAACTCAGAGAGCACCAAAATCGCTCCAATAGTAGCACTTGGACTAACATAACTTACCTTAGAAACAACACAATTTGTTGCAGCCAGATGGACCTTGCAGGAAAGGCACTTGTACCTATCATCTTCCTCAATATACTCTATTATCTTCATTTAAAAGTTTGACTTCCTGTTGGAATAAAAAGTTTATTTTCAAACCCTTTTATATTTTAAGGGGTTTTGGGGTTTTGGGGTTTTGGGGTTTTGGGGTTTTGGGG